ATCAAGATAAATAAATAGTTAAAATACATTTAAGGTCACTTAATTATGTATTTGATAATAAATATGCCACTCTTCTAAAATTTATAAATGAATATTTAATTAAAATGTTGTTACACGTACGTTATTTTATCATAAAAATTTAAACGAATGTTTAATGTTACTTAATATAATAATATTTTTATTCCATAAATTTATACAATCTATCAATTTTGTTTTGATTCGAAATAATTCAATAATGTTAACCTTTCATTTTAATTTTTATTAATTTAAGTTGTTTTTATACTTTCAAACTAAGCAAGCCCATTGAATCAAAATAACATTTACATAAATACATTTTACCATAAAGCTTCAATAAGTTACTATTAATTTATCATTATATTAGAGAAGTAAAAAGAAAATAATATAATATTTATAGAAGAAGAAGAACACGCAATTTAGAAGAAGAATCAAAACTAAAATAATATAATTTTTAATTATAAAGAGTTAAATTTATTAGTCATTATAAATGAAGATCAAATTAATATATTTTATAAGTTTTGAAGATTGAAATTGTTAGGTTAAATTACATAATTGATCATTTTCATTTAAGTTTTATATACATTTTCTCGCTGAATTCAAAAAACATAATATTTGATCACCTTCGTTTGTATTTAATTAAGATATAATTACTGACAACGGGGTATTTCACGGAAACTGCTCTTAACCTGACGTTGGGGGCAGTCTACTACCCTACCTCCCCTTACCCGATTACATATGATAATAGAATCAGTTAATTTTTTATAATTACTGATGGTTAGTTGTCATTAGACCTTTAACGGATTACTGACATGACACGTTAGTAAAAGAGTTTAATTTTATCTTAACCCTTGAACTTTAGGTAATATTCTAATTACAGACTTTTGAATTTTTGGGGTTGACGTCTCTCAGTATATGCTGGAGACGACGAATTGCCCGAGGCCTCCCAACCCCCAGACATTCCAGCTTAAGAGTTTCTTTGTGTCCGATTGACCTGATTATACAGGCTTACCGATATATATGTGCTTCCTCTAGTAACTGATGCCTTCTTCATTACTACCCCACCAACCAGGGCATATCGCCGAAGAATATCATCGCCAGTATTCTCATCTGAACCAGTCAAAGTCACTGGAATGCTTCGTTGTCTATTCGCTATCTCTTGTTTCTTTAACGGATCATCTTCCTCAGCCACAATCATCACAACATTCGAATCCGCTAATTTACTTTGTCCAGTACCATAATTCATGAACGCTCTTTTGGTTACCGCCTCAGATTTGCGGATCCTATAGTCGCACTATCCTTCCTCAGCCAAGGGCAAGAGACAATATCCTTTCTCCTTGGAGGAGCGCGGATAGAAATATCCCATTGGGTTATTAAATTCTCCTTTTTCTGCAGGACCCTCGTCGGACAAAAGTTCTTACCATGACCCAGTTTACCACAAAGAAAACAAAATAACCTAAGCTTTTCATATTGAAACGTCACATAAACACAAGAACCATTCGACAACGCCAATTTCTTTTTTCGCTTTAAAGGTTTTCAAACGTCCACACCTACTTGAATCGCATACTTCCTTTGTATCCCAAATTTATCGCAGTAGCATCATAGTCTAAATAAGATCCGATCTGTTTTGCTATTTGTTCTGAGATGTACACCACTGGTAAATCATTCACTAGCGTCCAGAATGTTACCATATTAAGATCCACCCCCATCAGATTCTCCCCTTTTTTGCAGACAGTGTATGATCAATACATGAGAGTTGAAATGCCAAGGCCCTTTAAAATCAATCATGTTTACGTCCACCTCGTGATACAAACAAAAGAGATGTCGTCCATCCCCCCATTCGGTGATAGTGATCCCTCGATCGGACGCCATACAGTGGCCAAAGTGACCTTCATCGCCTGAAAATTGATCATCGTAGCGGTATGGAAACGCTCAACCAGACAGTGCTTGAACAATGTGTCATGGGGTGCTTAAGAATTTTCTAAAACCATCACTTCATCCTCCTCCTCTCCCAGATTTAAGACTTCCAATTCCCGTTCTACATCACCCATGGAGCCTTTCGCACAAGAAAATCCAACAGCCAAAATAAGCAGAAAAAACTAACAAGACTAGATTAAACTAAGAATAAACTCAGATAACAACCACAAGAGTAGAGTGACGGCAGCCAAGACGGAAGAGAAAAGATCTAACACAAAGGGTTCATATATATATATATATTAAGATGACTCATGATTTTGCCCTAAATAAAAACTTAGTGAAATAATTACATCGACCTTTTCGGACTCGTGGTTTGTTTAAATGAGAAGATGACATGGCTGAGGAATGAAAGACAAGGCTCTGGCCAGTGGCGACGGCGAGTGGCAGCAAGTTAAAATTGGTAATAATTGTTTGTGTAGAATCAGGGAATCACTCATTGTTAGCCACCAAAATCCAAAAGAATAATACAAATACAACAATAAAGGAAATAAAAAAGGACTCGCCGTTGCAGTAAAAGGTGAGCTAAAATATCTTCTTAATGGCAAAAGCTGCTGGAAGCGAAATAAATACCAGAATCCCAAGTAATATTGATTTTATCAATAATTTATATTGATTTTATGATATTTTTTAGACTTAGATGTTTTTGTTTTTAATATTTTTCAGGATCAAACTTTTTTATATATGGTTTAATATTCAATCAAGTATTGAGGATGATAGACGGTGAAGAATAAGTAATTTACTTAGAGAGACAAGGACTATATTAATCAGACGTTGATTTCATTTTTAATGGATGAGTGGATTGATTATAATAAAAATTTTAATTAAATGACTCAAATATAACTTTTTAAAATTAGATAATCCTTTTGTAACCTAACTAATAATTGAATAATGTGTAATGCATTTACCCTCTTGGTTTTGTTTTTTTTATAAACTCTAGATTTGGATACAGAACAAAGCACATATTATGATGCATTGATCATTTTGTCATTTTAAGCCAATAACCCATATTCGGCTTCGTTGGGCAAATAAGATAAATAAAAGCAAAAAATTATGAAAAATATAAGGGTTGAAAAATTAATTTAAGATCTAGATCATTTGTTACGGTATTTTTAGAACTTGTAATGTTCTTGTTATGACTTTCATAAAATATAATAAATAATTAAGAGTCGTCATAGTTTTGGTGACGAATTTTATATAACTTTCATTCAAATCACGTGACGAGTTATATTTTTTAATAGATTTTATAAAATATGTTATAAAGACATGACAATTTCACATATAGTATAATAAGTTATCTAATTTTTTACATAAATTTTTAACACCTACATTTTTTCAGATCTTATCCATGTATATTTACTAAAATGCGTGTATTTTAATTTTATATAACTATTTCATTTTTTTAAATTACAATTTCTAAAGTTTATAAGATTTTATAACATATATTTTAATTTTATAGATATTTTACATATGATTTTATTATAATTTCCATAGTTTCATAACATATTATAAATATATTTGATTTATTTTTATAAAATTAGCATAACTTTTTTATAGAATTTCATATTGATCCTAATAGTAATAAAAAATATTTTTTAGATTCTTAGCAAAATTGAATCGAGCATGTATTAAATAAAATTTTAGAGTGAGTTTAATCATCCTAAATTAGAGTCTAATCATGTTTAAAATTGATAAAGGAACGATCGAGACCCACCCATTATCATTCCTAGATAAAAACCTTGCTTTAAACTATCGAGATCTAACCATTGCCAATTATCAGATTCCTTGATAATAACGGGATGAGAGAACACTTGGTTCTCTATAGAGCGTTATAAAGTGGCACATATGTAGGTTATTGTTTCAGTGTTTCAATATTTTGTTTTATTTGATTTTGCTATTTTTCGGATTATAAATCATCCATTTTGATTTAGACGAGGAGTTATGTCTTTTTTCTTATTATAGAGAGTGATTCCTTTTTTGAATAATTTCGTTAAATGTATAGAGACATTTTATTTCGAAACATCCCTACAATCTCTTTAGCATCGATCTAGCAGCGATAAAACCTTAAGAGGCATCTCTTTTTTACACAAGGAGACAACAAATCATGAACACCATATCTAATAAGACAGGTACTCAAATATTCATAAATTAATGAATCAAACATTCACAATCATTCTAATTCACCAATTAATAAAATTTTCACATGTAAATGAATTAAATTTTTTATTGATGTATTGATTTATTCTTTAATTAATTTAAATTATATAAACTAATTCTAGAGATGTTCTAATATTTTCTCCTAAAAATTAATCAAAACACGGGACTAGTAAATCACAATACACAAATACTTTTAGCTCACTAAATATAACACCCATACATTTTTTACTCATTTATATTTAAAAAGTTATCAATTAATCAAAACAAACCGTTCTAAAATCTTAGTTGAACAACTAATTTTTTTTTATCAAATTAATCTAAATAATAAAATTATCAGTAGTAAAATTCATCGGGACATATAATCATATTATAAAATACATTTCATGATAAACTAAAAACAATTTAAACACAAAGTATATTGACTAGAAAAGTAAGAGACTAATGTATAATTCTAAAATAATTTTAATACACAAAAATAAATATAAAATTATCAGTATATTTATGAACTTAACCTTAAAAATAATTGTATATAATTTTTTTAGAAAAAAACTAAAATTAAAATTGAATATTTCAGTAAATATAAAAGTATCGGTATATTTTAATTTTTTGGGGCAATAGACAATTAGCTAAATTCAGATACGTAGAGATGTAAACAAATTGAATCAAACTTGAATATTGCTAAACTCAACTTAAACTCAAAAACTTTAAAAAGTTCAACTCAACTTAAAAGCTTAACTAAAAATTATCAATCTCAACTTAAACTCAAACAAAATTTTAAAACTCAACTCCACCTCAAAAAAACTCTAACTTGAAAAAAAATTAAAAGCTCAATTTAGAAATCAATATTCAAAATTCAAAAAAATTCAAATTCAAAAAAAATTCAAAAACTCGATTCAAGCTCGAGGACTAAAAAGGGATTTGAAAATAGTTTTCAACTAACAATCGACGTGTCTCGGTTCGAACCTTATTAGCTGCGTCATTGCCCCAACCAAGCGCAAAGATGCCTTAAACATTTGTATCCCCTCGCCTTTTATAATAGAGTCAAGGATTCTCCTAGCCTTAAACCTACTGATGTGGGATATATGGGTCACTTATTTGTCAAAGTTTGTAAAGAGATATGGGAAGTCAAAACTGGAACGAGCAAGGGAACTGTTTGAGCATACCGTTGAAACGACACCTTCTGATGCAGTAAAACCCCTTTATCTTCAGTATGGCAATAACTAAATAAAAAACACCACCAAACCCCCATAGCCACCTTCACCATCATAATGTCCAAATCTACTGCAAAAACCTCCAAAAGATCATGGCACAACTATGATGGATAATCACCGTATCATTTAGATTCTTTAACTGGAAAATGATGGAGACGAGATAAGCTAGAATCAGGCCACAGCTACTAACTCTCGAAAGAGCCAACTCCGATGTCCCGAATGCACTTCAGTGTCTGTGCTGTGGAGGGATGCTGGGAAGAGTAGCCCCATCATTACTATCAACAACAGTTCTGAATTCACAACAGCCGTTGTCTTGTTGAAAGCCTGCACCTTTCTAACAATCCCACCAGAAAAGAATGCGATCCCAATAACAAATAACAAGTTTGACAAAACTGAACCCAGCAATGATAGCTGAACTACACGTAGCCTTCCGGTTCGAAATGCATAAATCGATACATTAATTTACGTTGCATTTCCGAATGTAGCATTTAGCAAACCCCAACTGCAAATTTCATTCCAAAATTTCAGTGCATCAAGCTGGAGGAGGATTTTGGGCTAGCAAAGCGAGCTATGAAGGTCTATGATCAAGCAACTAAAGTTGTTCCAAACCATGAGAAACTTGGCATGTATGAGGGAAGATGGCAATGACATTGATGGTAAACACGATGCCTCTGCTGCCAAAGACAAGGGTGGGAAGGAACTACTGGGTGCACTTGAGCGAATCAAAAGGCAGAAGCAAGCTCAGTAATACCTCTACATATTCAACTCCCACCAAGTTATCTTTGATAAATCAATGGAACTAACTCTGGGTGCGTGTTCTTTAGGGTTTTGTATATTTGGATCAAAATCAAGTCCATTTCAAAAAAAAATATGCATGTTTAATAAATTTATAGTTTGGTATGTTATATTTTAATTTTTGTATTTCAATCACATTTGTTTAAATTTTATTTGTTTTAAATGTTCAAGTGTCATTTATGTTATTTTCCATATTATTTTAGCTTAAACCGAATAGGTTCAATTGCATATAAGACCATGTAGTTTATATGCATTTTGTATTTAAGTCATTGGTTTAATTCCAATTTTGTAAGTTTAATTTTACATTTACATGAATTTAATCATCATTCTAAAGTTAGTATATTTAGCTTAAATTAGTCCTCACATTTAGGTTTATCTTAATTTAGTCCCTGTTTAGGATTGTTTTATTTAATTAGTTGTGTATATTTATTTTGCACGTTGATATGTTTATGTATAAATATGCAAATGATTTATTTAGGAGTCACATAACATCATTTTGTATAATTTGTATGTTACCTTCATGTGCATAACTTAACTCCTATCACATAATCGGGTTAAGAGTTAAGGGTTTAGGGTTTATATTTTAAGATTTAAGGTTTATAGTTTAGGATTTAGAGTTTAGAGTTCATTACAAATACATTAATTAACCAATTTATGAGGTAATTATAATATAATATCTTGATATTAAATACTCAAACCCTTGATATTTATGATATTTGAACTCGAAACCTCAAAATATAACAACAATTTAAAAAATTAGTTATTAAAAATTTGAGGTAGTAGTATTATAAAATTTTTAATATATTTTTAAAAATTTACAATTATCAATAGTGTATTTTTAATAATGTAATTTTAAAAAATCTAAAATTATAATGTAACATTTTTTCGAACTGTTCACGAGCTTTTCGAGTCGAGTATCGAGTAGCTCGTTTCGGCTCGTTAAGAACTCGAGTCGAGCTCGAATCGAATTCATTCGATCCGAGTATTTATCGAGCCTTGACCGAGTCGATTTCGAGTAACTCACACTCTGTCACAATGCATGATGTACATTAGGACGTTGGATTTCCGATTTCAAGAAGCTCAAAACAAAATTCCAATTTTCCCGCCTCTTTTCCACTCTCGCAAACTCTTAACTTCACCCAATTTCATCCAAATTTTCGAGTTCGAAATCCCCAAACCACAGCGCTCTTTAACTATCAGCTAGAGAAGTGATCGGTAAGAGAATACGTTTCTGTCAATTTCAATTATTGGCGGTGATCTATTAGATTTAATTATAACTTCACTGTGAATTCATAGCGGCGATCTCTTTGATTTCTTGTTTTCCCCTTCATTTTCGGTTTTCGTAGATTTTGTTTGATACGTTGATCTACGAGGTTTCACTCGGCTTACGAATTTATGATATCGGTCTTTATTTTTAAAATTCTAATGTCCAAGTAATAATGGGAAGTTTTACTTAGGCATTTTTGTTTAACATTTTGTTTTGTTTAGTTTGTGAGAGAACAGAATCCCACAAGAAAAAAACTATAGTTAAAAATCGGCATCTCATAGAAAAATAGAGAGATTTCTTGAGATTATCTGTAAATTTGAAGAAGTTAAGTTGAATTTCTCAGTAACCAAACAGAGTTTTAGAGATGTACCTTGTTATTTGTTTCCCTTTTATAAACTAAAATTGTTCACTCTAAAAGTTGCATCTAGTAGTAGCTTGATTTTGTGCATCTCAAGATAAAATTGCTCCAAGAGTTCTGTACTCATTAACTTACGGATGCATTTTTTTTTGGCTAGCAGTGCTCGTTTATCATAAGTTTACTTGACTGAAATTAACTTTACAATATTTGATGGAGCATGATAGTACTTAAACTGTTTTACAATTTATATTCAATTTCTGGGCGTTGATTTTCCTTTTAGTAGCTTCATTTCCAGTTCTTCCAATTTCCAGGTTTTGTTTTCCTTGATGCATGTTGCTTGGTTTTTTAGTTCTCTTGAAAATGAACATAGTTTTATTCTCATAGGTATACATAGAAAATTAATTACAGTGAAGAGTGAACCGGTATTGCTATTACTGAATTCACAATTCTAGTAACTTTTTGGAGTTGCGGTAAGAAATTTAGTGTTGATGCCCTACAAATTTATATTTCAGGATCCAATGCGTGACTGTCGAAGTTTTGGCAACATTTTTCATCCATCCAGCCAATCTAGAAAGGTTTCGATAGGGATAGTCTTAGATTCCATAGCTGAGAGAAAACTTGGAGACCTTGAGGAAGATAAGTCTAAACAGCCAAACGAAGAAAAAATCAAATCTGCCAATGGAATTTCGGTGGAGGGAAAAAACAAAAGGGAAGTTGTTACATCTTCCAAAGGGAAGCAAACTGAAGCTACTGAGCAGGTTAAATCTCCATGGATTACTCCTAGATCAGTACATGAAAAATCTCTTGCTCCAGAGACTGCTTCTTCCAACCTTGGATGGAAGAAACATAAAAAAGTGAAGGATGTCGAAGTTATGCATTCATTTCAGTTTTTCTCAAATCAAAACTTCAATGCACAGAATATTAGTAGAAAGGCGAATAGTTTTGATTTTGATGACCTCAGCTACAAAAGGAAAGGCAGGAATGATGGCAACTCACAGAAGGTTGAGGAGTTCAATATTGCAAATGCAGGAAAAGTCCTTGAGTCGGATAAAGTGGTGTTAGAAAGCAAAGCAGATAAAACACAAAGCAAACAAATAGAAACCTTGAAAATGAGGCTGCAAGAATTATTGGGAAATGTTTCTTCACCAAAAAGTCTGTTATCTAGTTCACAGGCTCAAGAAGTAACTGGCAATAATTTAAAGCCTAAGTTAAGCGTTGATCACAGGAAAAACACAGTTGTAAATCCTAGACAAAATTCAGAGAATCCTGATCAGACTATTAATAGACCAGTAACCCGTTCTTTGGCCCAAAAGCGAGCTCCAGCCAAAGTGCAAACAGACAAGACTAACGTTGGTTTATCCTCCAAGCAGAAACATCGACAAAACATCTCTTTTAGAGAAGATCTAGAAAGCTACCTGGTGCTGTCAACACTGGCTCAAAATTGTCTAGGAAAAAGAAAATTGAGAAGAAAAGTTCTAAAATAGATCCACGTAAGATCTATTTTACGGTTGAGGGTAGAACTGATGAGATTAAGCGAACAACTTACACGAGTGAAACTTCAGTGCCACCAAGGAAGTCATCTATATTTGGTAATAAGATGGAAAGATTTCCCGGCTCCTGTAATGAGAAAAAAATAGAAAACTTCGAAAATGTGCGAGAGAAACACTCTTTTCATTCTCCAGTGACCGACAAGAAAAACCAGTCGGTTTATTGTGGCAATCCAACACCACTAGAGAAAGGGGATAAACATGAAGATGTTGGTAGTATATCTTTGAGGAATGTTGTGTGCACACCAGATAATTTCCAAAGTCCAACTTTTGGATTCAAAGAACCTATCTTGGACACTTCTACAAGCCCAAAACCAAAAACTGTGGAGGTAGAGCAAGGTGCACGCAGTCCTATACCATCAGATAGAGAATTTACCATGGGAAATGTCAGGGGCATCAGGACTTTCCAAGCTTCAAAACCAGTCAGTAATATATTAAATTCACAAGCTCACTCACCTATATCCCTCTCTATTCTTCAGGATTATGATATGGGAGTTGAACATACTAAAAGATATGTGCATTCTGAATCATCATCAGAAGAGAGGTTGTCACAGAGTTTTGAAGATGGTTCACCCATTATTAAAAGATACGATTGTAAGTAGAAAAATGCTTGCTTGAAACATGCTATATACATTTTTCCTAACATTTCTTAGAGGAATCCATGTAGTATATAATTTACCTTTAGTTACTTATAAATACTCAGTTGATTGGGATGATAGGACTTCATATGCGAACTGGTTCACATGCTCACAAGAAACTCCACCTGATTTGATATAATTGGGTTGTTTGTTTCAAAAAGATCGAAAAGTTGCAGTTATATTTTG